GTTCCGATTGTTCCGTGTGAAACAGTCTGAGAGGATGAAACGCCCTCGCGTTTAGGACAAAGCAGATTTTATATATATATAAAAATAATTGTACATTGTAACTGAGTTTTTATAACCCAGAAAATGGCGTTTAAATGGAAGGACGTACGTTGTTCTTGTAAAATGTCATTATAGGCAGAATTAAAAATCAAAGCACGCGTTGTTGTATTGTAAGATATAATATGTAGAAAATGTAAACTATAATACAAATTTTATAACAATACGCTGACTTTGAAATGTGTTTTATTTGCACCAACAAAACCCCTTTGTCGTGAGTGATTTGTACACCGAGGAAGGATTCACGCCATCATTTGCCATCCTTGAAATCGTGCAACTTTTTCTATTTAATAGTTTTTCATAAAACGCATAAATTAAATGGTATTTGAATTATTATAGTATATTATTATAGTATATTATTATTATAGTATAAATAACGCTGAGTCCTTTTCTTTTGATTTTGAGATCAAATGGCTTATTGAAAAATTGTTATAAGTATGTTATTTAGTGTTAATTATTTATTCAGTTGAATTAAAAAGTGTTGTGCAAAGTACTTGAATTACAGCACAATTATAGCGCACACATCGATTCTCCAATAAATAACAAGAAGTAACCAAGTAATTTTACATTCAACATTATTTATTAATAATTATTTACATTGCAATTAAATTAATTGTAAGATATGAACATTTAACTTTTGTTAAGGATTTATTTCAGTTTATTCATTCTCAGAACATTATTTATTACTAATCAACCGCTGAAATATGATTAAAAGTAATTTCGTTAAATTTCGATACTATACAATCCTAGTTGCGATCGTTTAACTAACATTAATTCCAGAAAAATATTGCGCACTCAATTTCGTTTTCTACGTTGAACTAAAATAAATATTATAAATATTATTAATATATCATATCACATATTTTCCAACTATTCTTCGCGTAAGGAATATTTAGTTGGAACAATTTATTGTTTATAATGATTATAGTATATCTGTGCCTGCAGTAAAACTATTTATAAAAAATAATAATCTTTAATAATTTATCGGAATCTAGTTGAAAGAGATAAATTAAACGTATAGTACTTTCTCCCCGCTAGATAGCGCCACTAATCACGTTTCAGTACAAGTTTCGCTATTTTGTTAATTATATACTTACATATTCACCTAAATAGATCGCATCCCCCAAAACGTTTCGATACTGTTAACATATTTTTTACCAGTAAATAACAAAAATTTCTTGTGATTTCATATGTATTGTCTGTTGGTAACTCTTGAGTATATTCATCATTTGTTGGCAATGTTTATCCTTCAGTTTGTGCATATCACAGACGAGGTCGTCTGCGGTGCATATATTGTTTCACGATATTATATTATTATATTGTAGTATATATATTAATATAATAACATAATAATATAATATATATTATATATATTATATTATATATTATATTATATTATTTTTCTCATTCGAGAAAAATATGTCTATTGCCTATTCCACTATTAGTTTGAGCGGTTTGTCATTGCAAAATTGCGATATTTCCAAAATTTATAGAGCACACATATTATCCACTTTTCTCTTTGTTAACAATAAGTTGTTTTGCTTTTTTTAAGATGGACACAGAAGTTTGCTTTGAACATTATCATATTCTTAAGATATTTTTTCAATTCTCAAAATTACTAAATTTCATGCTACTTTCCTATGCGTCTACTCTCTCCATAAAAAGTAGTTTAATTCATGCGTTTCGCCGCTAGATGCCTCGCGTGTTTCAATTTCTGTCGGATGCCTATTGTATTAAAGACCATCATTCACGATAATGGAAAAAAAAAAGTTGTACCGCGTTCATATTTTTCTACGTGCACTCAGGACAAATCGCTGCTTTTTAAAGATATTTATTTATTGCGTTATTTTATCCGGATTTATTGCGCAATATAGACGCAGAAAAGTTTAATCAGCGGTCCACTATTTTTAAAGCCCACAGTTTGTATACGTTCAAATATTTTATTTTATATTATAATTGTATAAAATTTTTTATATATATAATATTATTAAATATAATATTATTAAATATAATATTATTATATATAATATTATTACATATAATATTATTACATATAATATTATTATATATAATATTATTAAATATTATATTATTATATATAATATTATTAAATATTATATTATTATTTATAATATTATTATATATAATATATAATTTTAGTTTACATCCCATGCAAAGTATAAATCTATTTCCGTCTTTTTACCCGAAGTCATTAAATCATAAAATGAAACTCCCCGCCATATATTCCAGCATTGTCATCATTTACAAACTAATCCTTCTTCGTTGCCTTTACTCACTGTACATACACCTACAACACGTATCTATTTCGCAACCGAATAAATTGAGTCACTTTCCTGTATACTTTTAACAAGTCCACCTGGGGAATCCTAGCGGCGATACGATACGACCCGCGACTGATAAAACGAACTCATAAACACGGACAGTAGAAACGATTAGAGACTGTCGCGCCAATTGTACGCATTTCGTAATGTTACAAGGCGAACGTTGAAACGCAGATTATGCTTATCGTTCTAGGATCACGATAGACAGAATCGCGATCGATTCAATTCCCTAAATGTTAGTTTCGGACACCACTGTTTAGCATCCTACGAGACAATGAACACATTCGGTCTCGGGAAGAGGCGCTGATAAGAGCAACAAGTAGCGCCGCATAGACATAACAGCAACACGACAGCGACGTGACAACAGGAACGTGCGATAATGATAGCCTAGGATTACAAACCACGCATGACTCGTCGCACGAATATTCTGCCGGCAGCAAATCTCCGGCGATCCTTTCTTCTGTCTCAGAGATTCGGTTTTAAAGAAGAGTAGCATTTTTATGGCAAAAACAAAAAAATTCCTGCATCTGTTTTTGCAAATTTTCTCTTCGCAAAAATGGACAATTTGGGAAGAGGAATATTCGGAGGTTGCTGATTATTATTAATTATAAAATCGAGGTGCAAGGCTTGAATAATCTTATCTTCTCTTCACAAATTGTTCATTTTTTTATTACCAGCTGAGCGTCAATTAGGTAGAATTTAATGTACAAGCTAAGGATCAATTAGGGAGAATTTATTGTAATGTCTCCCTAACTGACGCTCAGATAGTGCACAAAAATGGATATTCCAGAATTTGCTGCAAGTAGACTAAATTTTGTCTGCGCAAAAATGGACAATTTGGGAAGAGGAATATTCGAAGGAATATACGGTTGTTCAAACTTCGCGGCTCGTTTTTATAGTTGCTGATTATTATTAATTATAAAATCGAGGTGCAGGGCTTGAATAATCGTACCTTTTCTTCACAAATTGTTCATTTTTTTATTACAAGCTGAGCGTCAATTAGGGAGAATTTAGTGTACAAGCTGAGGCTCAATTAGGGAGACTTTTGGTATGTCTCCCTAATTGATGCACAAAAATGGACAATTTGGGAAGAGGAGATACGATTGTTCGAGCCTTGCAGCTCGTTATTATAGTTATTAACAATTCGTGACTATAAAAATGAACCACAAGGATCGAATAATCGTTTCTGCTCTTCCTAAATTGCCCATTTTTGTGGACAATCTGGGCGTCAATTAAAGAGACATCATGTGAACAATGGAATTATTTTCTCAAGTTTCAAAATAAATATTTGTATTCCATTTTTGAATTTGTTGGCGTGATAAACGAAGCGTTAAAGGGTTGTCTACTATAGTAAATTCTCGCAAATTGTCCCTCAGCTTGTAAATAATAATAATAATTATTATTATGTTATATATTATGTTATTATTATTATATTATATATTATATTATTATTATTATGTTATTATTATTATATTATATATTATATTATTATGTTATTATTATTATATTATATATTATATTATTATGTTATTATTATTATATTATATATTATATTATTATGTTATTATTATTATATTATATTATTATTATTATTAACGATTATTCGAGGCCTGCTGCTCGCTTTCATAGTTACCGATTGCCAATAACCATAAAAACGAGCCGAATAATCGCACCTTCTTCTCCCAAATCGTCCATTTTCGTTTCCAAACAGGGCGCGGTCAATTAAGGATAAAGAGGTAAACGGAAGGGTGAATCTCGGAAGAAAACAGTTCGCTCTATAAATTACGAAATATATTATAAAATCCGGTAATAAATTATTAAATACAATAATAAGTTAGAAATATACATTGTCTGGTATCTACACATTATAAGCATTTGCTCCGTAATACTGTACAGTAGAAGAGTTCGTTACAATTATTGTCTTTCATAAATACCTTAAGCGCTAATAGTGATCGCTGGTCCAGGACCATGCGAGAAAAGAGAGAAAAAAAGAAAAAGAAGAAAAAAGGTAAAAGAAAACAAGTTCCCACTACGGGAATTGTTTATCACAATTACGATTGCGCGCCGCCTTCGGTGCAAGGCGGGCTGAGAAGGTACCAACGTGGATGATCGATATAATAAATAATCGCTATTCTAAATAAATAAAAGCACGGCTCGCTCCGCGCGAATAAATAAATAAATGCTAAACGGCGAATGGATTAGTGATCGCAATAAATAAGACCGGTGAAATAAATAACCGAGAAGAATATCTAACCTGGGACCGTAACGCGCCAGGTTTCGTTTCGCAATGATTCGATTATCTTGAGCGATTATCGCGAATGACTCCGACGCAGCAGCAGCAGCAGCAGCAGCGGCCGTTGTCTAGTCATGCGTATTGTAACACGGCCCTGGGTGCCGATCGCACGGCGATAAGGGCGCTAAGTCAATTTACGTCGTACATTCGGAATCGATTTACACGATTTTCGTCGATGGTGTCGCGCGCTTTATCGCGGACAATCCCCGTTTCTCGTTTTTTTTCGCGCTTCAACGTTCGCCCCCCAACGTTCACCGACGTGTCTCGTTGCTCGGCCGTTCCTCTAATCGTTAAAAACGTGCCTCCATGCGTGCAGGTAGTCCCTGTACTTGAGGAGCACGCCCCAATCGCGGACGAGCCTTCTGGTGTCGTCGACGGGCTCTCGATCGGTGCTCTTCATGATGCTCCTCTCGACCCTGGTCGGCATCTCGAGGGCCGGCAGGGTGACGATGTTGGTCTCCACCTCGCAGAGCATCGCCGTCAAATAGGACTGCGTCGTCGCCAGCGCGTCGCGGATCTCCGCGTTCGTTTCGTCCGCCACCAATTCCTCGAAAGCCACCGCGAACTTCTGCAGGTCCGTGTGCATCTTCGGGTAGTGGCCTGCGATCTGCAATTCAAAGGGTAAATAATGTAATTGCACTCCGTTCGTTGTCTTCGACGATCGCGAATGTGCTCGGATCGAGACGGTTCGATCGAGAAGGTCTAAATAGCGGTTTTACTTCCTCTTTGCGATCGCGGCGCGATCGTTTATTTCGCGGTCGGAGGATTCGATCGAGTCTAGTTTTTTTGCTGATTGACGCACGAAAATTGGCGATCGTGGGTCAGAAAGGAGCAAACTATGGAAGCGGCAGACGGTGAAACCATTCGTCGATTAAATGATTATTCTGTTTATTTACTAATATTTAGTAATATTATTACTAATATTTAGTAATATTATTACTAATATTTAATAATATTATTTAGTAATATTATCACTAATATTTAGCAATATTATTCAGTAATATTATCACTAATATTTAGCAATATTATTCAGTAATATTATCACTAATATTTAGCAATATTATTCAGTAATATTATCACTAATATTTAGTAATATTATTTAGTAATATTTGTAGTAATATTATCACTAATATTTAGCAATATTATTCAGTAATATCATTACTAATATGTAGTAATATTATCACTAATATTTAGTAATATTATTCAGTAATATTATCACTAATATTCAGCAATATTATTTGATAATATTATCGCTAATATTTAGCAATATTATTCAGTAATATTATCAGTAATATTCAGTAATATTATTTAACAATATTATTCAGTAATATTATCACTAATATTCAGTAATATTATTCAACAATATTACCGCTAATATGTAGTAACATTATTTACTAACATTATTACTAATATTCAGTACTTCTTATTTCGTGAAACGAACAGTTATTTATTTGCAGAAAAAATAAGAAACGGATCTATCGATTTTTCCCTTTCAAGTTTCTTCGAATAAGAGATGCGACGAGGGCTGCGAGAATTCTAGGATAATTCTCGGTCCATTTTTCCCGTCGGTAATTTAACGCCACAGGTTGTGGTACATTTATAACTTTCAAGAAATCTGTTTTGCAACGCACACGAAAAGAAATCAGAGATTTTGCAGTACGCCGGTAACCCGAGAAACGCACGGGGGTCGACAACATCTCGAACAATCTTTTGATTACGTTGTGTAGCATTCGTGTCGCTCTATTGTGCGCATCATTCGAATCCCGCTCCATTTCGTCGCCACAATTTTTAACGCGACATTCCCGTCTCTTCGTCACGAAACAATTTCTCTGTTGCGATCTTCCCGCGGCGTCGCGCGCGCGCCTCTAAAACTCTTTCGCCGCCATTGTCGCGTAAGATTTTTTTAAGAATCTATTGTAATATACGAATCGCGACTTTTCCGCTAGTAAATTGAATAAATAATAAAACAAATAAATTTCGACGTTAGAATAATTTCAGCAGTTTGCTCGTAGAAAAATTGCGACAACGTTAAAAAAGGCAACAGAATAAACTGCATCGCGAACTTTCATCCATTTTCTGCGCGCTTAAATATAAAATAAATGCGCCGTGACAATTTCAGGTATGCGATAAACATTCTAAAAGGCTCGAACGAAGCGAATCTTTATTATTAACCTTCTACCCACGTCGTTGTAACAAAGAACATCCAGAGCCTGACGACGCGAAATGAAATTCAACGCGCGTCGAAAACTCGAGCATCTAAAACTGCGAACGTACGATTTCGGTACTTAATGAAACAACTCCGCAAACGCCTCAGAGAGAAAGAAGAAAAAAGCTGTTCGAGCTTTCGAAGGAATCTTCGTGCTCGAAGTTCTCGATCGAACGAATTGAAATTTCTTCGAAACGCGTCGATCGAGCGAAAATTCGACTTGTGTCGAATATATTGACATATTCATAATTTTCTTTTTTTAAACATATTCCATCGAATAGTGTTCGACTTATGTCAACGGCGCGACGCGGCGCGGCGTCGGCGAGCGAAAACTGGTAGCAAAGACGCGTCGTCGCTGGCCGGCAAAGGATGAATAGATGCGATTTCTCGAAGGGGGCGGAGGGGGGAGGAGGAGTAGGAGGAGGAGGAATGCCAGTGCAATATGTCAAGGACCGCGTGGTCTGCGGAACGTGCTGATGCGGAATGATTTCGCGGCCGGTGAAAGGGAGGCGGGGGAAGCGGTATAAATATCAGGGAGTACCGCGTTACGTTATCACGGGTGCGTTATCAGAGTGCACGCATCGCGGCGGACGACAAGCGTGATTACGCAGTCGCGCGACCCGGCTAACATGAGCGGGATGTACCCTGGACCTGCATTGCGCGCGCAAACTTCCCGAACAGCCGCGCGCGCTTCTGCTCGCCTGCTACTTTATAATAATTACCGTCTCATTAAAATTTGTTATTTAACGTTGCGTTAATTAATTGCAACGACGAATGGTCAAACCGATCGCGGACGGAAAATTGCGCGCGACTCCGTCGCGGCCCTCACCTGTCCCTCCTCGACGAGGATGCATCCGAGCAGCCTCTCTTCCGTTTCGACGCTCGCCCCGCGCCCCGATGAATATTTATAGGCGGCGGCCAGGCATGGGGCAGGCGGGGGAGCAGACGTTCTTAATAATCGCCGGCGACACAAAGGACGTTCGTTCGTTCGTTCGTTCGTTCGTTCCGATAATCCGCGGATCAACCGTTTCGCGGAGGGAGATTCGAAAGTTCGCGAGACTCGCGCGAATCCTCGCGCGCTCGGATACAATTTCGCGGGCGGGATCGACGGCAAATGTTTTACGGGGGATTTTTCGCGAAACTTGCCTCTCGTGAAACATGCCGAATCGATGCTTCGCGGCAAATAGAATATGAATCGTCGCTCGGGAAGTGCGCGGGACGCGACGCTCGAGCAAATTCGGCGCCGAGTAATCGACGAGATTTAGGCTCGCGCTTGAACGGCGATCTGCGATTTACCTTGCTAGAGACAGTAATGTCTCCCTAATTGACGCTGAGATTGTGCAGAAGAATGGACAATTTGGGAAGAGGAGATACGATTATTCGAGCCCTGCAGCTCGTTTTTATAGTTGTTGACAATTTGTGACTATAAAAATGAACCGCAGGGCTCGAATAATCGAATCTTCTCTTCCCAAATTGTCCATTTTTGTGGTCAATCAGAGAGATATATAGTCAATTAGAGAGACATTGCTGTATTCGGGCTAAGACTAAATGAGAGGATCGATTCTAATTTAGAAATAGAAGCGAACGAAAGAATATTGACAGGGATCTAGACATTGTTTCGTGAACGCGTTGACCGCCGAGATTATTTTAAAGAAATCTGTTTCGGTCGCCAAGAGATTTCTCTTGAATAAATAAATAAATAATAATAACCGAGAAATAAGTGATTCTAATTTAGAAATAGAAGCGAACGAAAGAAAATTGACAGGGATCTAGACATTGTTTCGTGAAAGCGTTGACCGCCGAGGTTACTTTAAAGAAATCTGTTTCGGACGCCAAGAGATTTCTCTTACAATAAATAACTAAACAATAATAACTGACAAATAAGTGCTAAATAAATCCTTTCCTTTAACAGTCTCGTCTACCAAATATTTCCTTCACTTTCCTCGTACACCGTTTCGCAAAATAAAAGTTGCGAGCAGTCTAAATAAATTCGGTCGACGAGTAAAACGATAAAAACGAGTCGAAGAACGATCATTTAAACGAATAACCAGGCTCAAAGGTGTTCGTAGCACTCTATTTCGAGAACAGGAGAATCAAATTTTGTTTCCATTCGGAAGAAACGAGCGAACTACACTACCAAACGTTCGCGTTTCGAAGTTCGATCGTGTACGAAACGTGACAAAGAAATGAAATAAATCGAACGGTGGATTATTCGTTAGCCTGACTTAGGGCTTGGTAGTTCTATCGTCGAGCCAGCAGAGAGACCCGGAGAGAGAGACCCCTGTGTTCGCGGAGTAACGTTAGAAGAACGTCGCGACAGGCCAGAAACGTCGACCGCGAGAGTCTCTAGAGTTACAATCGAGAGATAGGCTTACCATTTGCGGCTTGGCGTCGACCAGCCTCTTGATTTTGTTCACGTCGTTCTTGCCGGGCACCCAGTTGGGGATGTATTGATGGTCGTGGACACCGATCCGAACCCTTTCGTACAGGTACTCGTAGTCGCGGTACAAGTAATCGGCCATGGTCAGCCGGTGCTGGAGCCTGAGGCGCTCCAAGCTGGACTTCACTTCCTCCTCGAAGTTCTCGATGGTCGCAAGCTCCATTTCGATCTCCTCGCCGCAGGGCAGGTGCCAGGACGGCACCGTCGATCTCGTGGATCGTCTCGGCATGCCGGAAACGGCCGCCAGAATCGACAACAATATGCAGGAACAACGGCCGATCATGCTTCGAACTTTGATCGCGGGGTCGGGGCACTGATTCGAGCGAGAGGAGACACCGACGATGAGATTTTACGCCGTGCGATAACGAATTGGATCGGACCGGAGCGTGCGCGTCGATGCTTACGATAAGCCCGAGATCGTGAACTGAGATTGTCAAACTCTCGTGGCTCGAGCTTATATATGGCATTGTATAAACAATCGGACGTACGCACGCACGATCGACGGTGGGGTGGCAGCTTACGTTTTGTCCAGTTTTTCAACGCGCCGCGTCGCGCCGCGCCGCGCGTCGACGGCCTGAGTCGACGTTTAGGGACGGAAACCAATTTTTTTCAACTTTCCGATTAACTCGACCGCGTTCCGTTCGCTTTTAGGAGATTCTTCAGGACGGCGATTAATCGTGACGCTTTCTCATTGTTCGGTCGGTTCGAAGCTTTTCCGCGATAAATGTGAAATTTTCTTCGCAATTTTTAACGAAAATTTCTATGCATGCCTGTGAATAATTTTAGATCCAATTTAGGGAGATTTAAACGGAAATTTAACGAAATATTATATTTGTATATTTTTGTATTAGAGATAATAGAAAATAGAAATACAGGAATATAACTACTGATTGGTTTTCGTTTAAATAATATAATAATAATATAATAATAAAATATAATAATATTATTATTATTATATAATAATAATATAATAATAAAATAATAATATTTCGTTCAAATATCGGCGAAAATGTAAAAGTTGCGTCATGTTTATAATTATTCGCAGCACTGTAGTTTGCCTCCTCTTTAGCCGAAACACCCTATATATTAAAAAAAAAGAACGTAACAAAATATCGTATTTGTATATTTCTATAAAATATAATATTTCGTTAATTTTTCGTTTAAATATCGATGACAATGTAAAAATTACTTCGATCGTCTACGATTGTGCACTCCGCTGCAAATCCCGCAAAAAAATTGTGCAGTTGGCTTCAGGCGACCTCGGCGATAAAAATTAAGTGAGCAAAACGGAAACAGAAGAATTGAACTTCAAAAAAAAGTTCGAAAGTGAAAGCATTTTCAAGTATTTTAAAAAAGCTGCGTACAAATCGTCGCGTTGGCGAATAACAGAAGTTGCATGGTTTCGAAGGTGGCAAACAACAGTATGAACTTTTTCGTACGATAGTTAACCAATTTTTCATAAAACACATAGTTTAAAAGAATATATGTTTACTCCCTTATTCTTTGAAAGTACAACTTTCCGGCTCCCTGATCTGAATCTTCATCGATCGCCGCACCGATTTAATTTCCGTCGATCGCTCAATTTTCGTCACGGAGGTCTCGATGAAAAGATCTACGCGATCTTTTCGCAGGAGAAATCTACGAAAATTTTCGGAATTTTCGCTGGAAATTGCGGATAGGTTTGCAGAAGTTTTCAGAAGAAGGAAAAGATCGGTTTTTACAGTAAATTCTCCCTAATTTTCCTTCAACTTGTTAACAAAAATGGATGAATTTGTGAACAGGAAATACGATTACTGAAGCCTCGCGCCTCGTTTTGATAAACTCGAGGCTCGAACAATCGTGCCTCCTCTTCCGAAATTATCCATTTTTGCGTGCAATCTGAAGCAAAATTTAGGAGAATTTATAGCATCGAAAGGAAGCATGATCCAAACGAGCAAAAAGAAATGCTACGAACGACGAACGCAGTCCTAAAATAACGAAAACTGCGAAACGGAAATCATGAACGATCATCGCGTCTTATCGTGCTACGAGCAATCGATATCAAGACAAGTCCAAGCGAGTCCACAAGTTATCCAAGCATCGGCAAGAAACGCGAGTTTCTCGCGCCGGTTTTTCGCCGCCGAATTCCCGAAAGACTTTCCACGTTGATTCAGCGTCGAAACAAAACGCATCGTCGCCTCTTATCATGCTACGAGCAATCGATATCAAGACGCTCGAAGCTCGATCATCGATCTCTCAATTAGGATGCAAAGCGAGTCCACAAATTATCCAAGCACCTGCAAGAAACGCGAGTTTCTCGCGCCGGTTTTTCGCCGCGAAATTCCCGAAAGATTTGACTCCACGTTGATTTATTAGCGTCGAAGCAAAACGCATCATCGTCGCAACAATGATCGCTAATTGTGCAAACGGGCGACGCCTATCTGAATGACCGCGACGTTATTTACGAGCTGCAATCGATGCTGTGTCGCGACTGATTAGGCGTGTCGTATCTCCCGGACTGTAACGATCACGTTGTAATCAAATTCCTGTTCGAACGTTCAGCGCGCATTCTAATCGATCGGTGTGTACGCTTCTAATCGGTCGACCGATCTGCGAAATGAATTTAAAGAGCATAAATGGGATACTTTTCTTTTTTCAGCGGCTGCGGTCCCGCAAATGCATTTCCATAAGCCATTCATCGCTGTTCGAATTAATCAACGTTCCCATTGTACACGTTGCGGCTGGCGATTTTTGCGCGTTCATGACAAGCGCAATTATGAAAAAAAAAAACGCTGGGAAACGCGTGTTTCAATAACACTTTGCCGGATACCTATTAATAAGGCATGATAGATTGTTCTGCTAATAGGGACTAATGGCGCGATACTAAATAATTAGCTCGAAATTGCAATCGCTGAGATTATTGGAAAAAATTCATAGACGCGTAGTCAATTACGAGTTGATCGATCTTTAAACGCTGTTACATATGTAACAATATATGCTGTTACAATATGTAAATGTAAATGGTTATTTATTTATATGTAAATGTTTCGATTTCAGTTTTTTAGTCGAGAAATCTGGTACAGCAATTTTTCCCTAATTCGCGCTAAGACTTTTATAATTATTATGATATTTATATATATTATATATATATAAATAATATATATTATAATATTTATAATTGTTATAATATTAAGAAGAAGAGTTTTTATAGTTATTGACATTCGGTGACCACAAAAGCGAGCCTCTTTCCAAATCGTCCATTTTTGTGCGTAATCTCAGCGCGAATTACGGAGAAATTACTGTAAACCGCTAGAAAAGTTCCGAATACGTTTCGATGACTTTTTTAAGCGCATATTGCAAAATCGAAAATTGAGAGAAGAAAGTTAAATCTCTGTGAGAACGGTATTTAAAAAAATTGCTCAGCTCAACAAAGTGGGCAAAACTTTGCCAAGAATTATGAACAATGTAATTAAGAACTAGCCAATTTAATGAAGATATTAGGACAATAGCGCAGGCAACGAGAAATATCTATTAAGCCAATTAGCTGTTTTCGACGAGCATACTCGTCGCGAAGAAACGGCGATATTTTGTCAAATACGGCCAACCGATTAAGTTAAGTGAACAAATAAATACTAATACAAACATAACAAAATAAATACTAACAAAATACTAACAAAATAAATACTAATAGTAGAATAAATAATTAAAGCAATCGTTTCATTACAACTTAGCAGTAACACATACACTCTTCAAAGAGAGATCGCTAATTAATTAAAAGAAGAAAAAGAAAAAAAGAGTATTCCATCAAAAATGATTCCGGCGCCCGAACAATCTAGTATTTTTATTTTAATCTTAATAAGATTATTATTTGAATCTATTAACCTCTCTAATAGAATCTCTTTTTTTTTACAAAAGCAGCAATTTTCCCGAACGCTTCGGAATGGAAAAGAACGAGCTGGAGGAAGAAGAAGAGAAACATGCAATCGCGATAATAAAAACTGCATATAAACTTCTCTTATTTTGGGGTGCATTCGGAAACTGCGGCGCGACTATATCGACATCCAAATTTATCTGAGTGACGTGTTCGCGTAAACGCGAATAATACCTATCGGTTAAGCATCGGGAATTTCGCGAAACGTTTGTGTTCCCACGTTTCGACGTTCCCCGAAAAACCGACTATACCTGCCAGTTCCGTAAGCTCGTCGGAAGCGAGGATCCCGAGATCCCGACAGACGTTTTACGGGGGCATCGAGGCACACAGAAATGCGCTCGCACGGACTTCGCTCTATTTGCATTATGAATCAGTTGGGAATGCCGCGCGTCGCGCGATTTGTCATAACCCGTATAGAATCGCGGTTTGATCGCGGGCTAGTGCCAATAATCGAATCGAGCCGATAGAATTACCGGTAACGCGCGCGAATCGTCATCGTTATACTAACCGCGGCTCCGTTCGTATTAACCCTTTGCACTCGAAACTATTTTAACTGTAAATCTAGAATAATTTTTCTGACTTATAGTATTTTTATTTTATATGACAAAGTGCATTTTATGCATATGACGCTTTTCACAATCTTTTTAAATCTAAACTTTGCTAATGTAAAAATTATTTTAGAGAACGTGACATCGTAAATTTTAATAGTGCTTCAGAGTCACCACTCGAGTGCAAAGGGTTATTACGTACTATCATTCATATATATTATTATATATTCATATACATTATCCTTTTGCACTCGAAACTATTTCAACTGTAAATCTAGAATAATTTTTCTGACTTATATATATAGTACTTTTATTTTATATGACGAAGTGCATTTTATGCATATGAAATTGACTCTTGCGACTCACACAACGGTTAGGGTCTTAACAATCTTTTTAAATCTAAGCTTTGCCAATGTAAAAATTATTTTAGAACGTGACATCGTAAATTTTAATGGTGCCTCAGAGTCACCGCTCGAGTGCAAAGGGTTAACGTTGCGATACTGGCTTCTGTTCGTCTTTTCTGGTCGTCTCTCGCCTCCAGAATTCTCCGGCGACTTGTAAAAAGGTGGTCTGTCTGAACTTTTTTAAGTGAATTCGACTCGATTATACGATCCGAACTAAATCGAAGCGAACCGCGATTTAGCGAACCGCTGAATCAGTGAAGTTAATTGTATAATATATTCGAAAATATTAAACGTATCAATCTCGAGTTAAACAACGTGGTCTTGGTTCTTGAATAAATAAAAATAAATAACGCAACGTGATCCGAGTTATCGAATAAATCGAGTGAATTACACGGTCTGTACTAAATTACTAAATCGATGA